TCGATTGTCATGCAATTTTGACAGGACATCAACGAAAGATTCACCTATCCAACGCGATAATAGATAGCGCCACTTGTATCGGTTATCTTTCAAAGATCCTCCTTACGTTTTAACAACTCGTTTACTGTTACATCTGGCATGCTAATCAGTCGCCTTTTCAACCGTTAGTTCCGGGCAGCCCTGCAAATGGTCGTATCGTCGAAGGACCCGAGAGAGAACCTGGAGCGGTTCGCGAAGATCGGCGAGGGCAGCACCGGCACCGTGTGCATAGCGCATGACAGATCGACAGGCAGACAAGTGGCTGTGAAGAAGATGGATCTACGCAAACAGCAACGCAGAGAGTTGCTGTTCAACGAGGTGGTCATCATGAGGGATTACCACCATCCGAATATCGTCGAGATGTTTGACAGTTATTTAGGTAAGTTGAAACACACATTTTATATTTGTTATACATATTTTTCTATTTGAAAAATCAACACGGTTTTTACGAGGTGAAATCGAATTTTTTTTATCGATAAATGAAGGTTGGTTTAAGCCATTTATGTATGAAAAATAACGTCAGTCATGTGACCACCGCGGCTTCGTTTACAGGCCAAAATTTTCAATGACTTTTCCCAGAATAATCGGGTCTAATTTCAGTCCGAATATTGCGCTTTAGGGCTGGAATCGTCCGCGGACCATTCGCATACACTTTTCCTTTCAATAATCAAAAAAAAGAAAAGTCAAGAGGTGTTAAATCGTACGATCTCGGGGGCCAACTGACATCTGAATTTCGTGAAATTATGCGGTCTTGAAATTTCGTGTGCAATAAGGCGATTGTTTGGCCGTTGCTCCGTCTTGATGAAACCAAAGATCGTCGACGATCCAATTGTGGCGACAAAAGTCTGTTAACATCTGCCGCGATAACGTTCCCCGTTGACGACCAACGATGCCACCAGCCCATAATCCGCACCAAACAGTCACTTTTTCAGGATGGAGAGGTTGCTCATGATATTGGTGTGGATTTTCAGCCTCACAGAATCTGCAATTTTGCTTATTTACGTACCCATTGAGGTGAAAATGAGCCTCATCAGAAACTTTGGCCGAAAATCCGTCTCCTCTTTCCAGCATGCAATTAACAAAAACACGCCGCTGTTGATGGTCCGCCGGCTTCAATTCTTGTGTTAGTTGGATTTTGTATGGATGGAGGTGTAAATCAATGCGTAAAATTCCGGCGTAAAGTAGTCTCACTAATTCCAATTGTTGCGAACGGTGCCTAGTTGAGGTGGTTGGATCTTCTCGCACACTTTCACTCACTGCGGCTATGTTTTCGCGAGTACGAGCTGGACGAGCATGTTGGTATGGTCTATGATCTTCAGCTGAACCAGTTTCCTCAAAACGATTAACAATCCAACGATTTCCAGGCTCTGTAGGGCGCCCAAGTCGGCCAAAACTAGTGCGAAGTTTGCGAAAAGTATTTTTGTATTTCGACCGTTTTCGTAATAAGTTTGGATAACCAAAAAGCGTTGTTGTGTTGCAAACGAATCCATGACCATCAATGGCATACCTTTGACAGTTCATTTATACATACCACATGACTTTTGAATCACGTATTAACACATAAACTTATGGGTAACAAAAGTAATAGTATGGTGTATCTGAAGTCACTTGAAATAGCATAAAAACCTTTGGTCGGCGCGTCCTTTGTAATTTCATGACGTATCATAGGCGTGCGGCATTTATTTAGAACGATAATAATAATGTTTTTATATCACAATAAATGGATTTTACTATCTTCTTATTTTTTGATTTGGGATAAAAAATACTTATATTGGGAGTTTAATTTATGTTGACTGAAAGTTAAGAAATGGAAAAATTACAGAATTCCAACGTTTGACATAGGCAAATATTTACATAGCAGGTAGGTATATAAAAAGGTATATAAAGACTTACATTATAGGTATTTATATATCATCCTCGCCTTCGGAGCTGTCGCTAGAGTCATCTTGTAGAGGAATTGCAACGGGATTTACAGGAGGCAAAACACAATATTCATTTTCTTGTTCAATAATATGCCTAGAACACTGCTTCCATAGGTCTGTGGCAGCAATATGAGATACTGCATCTCTTATTGTGGCCAATAGCGATTCACTTAATTGAGGGGTCTGATTATGTTTTCTTACTTTTTTTTAAAGCAGCCCAGACCAACTCAATCGGGTTAAAAATGCAGTAATAGGGAGGTAGACGTAATACTTCATGGCCATTTTGCTGAAGCAGATTGTCAACAACATACTCTTTTTCAAATTTTGTCTTTTAATAAGATCCAATAATATGGCTTTGGTTGATTTTTGTGGTATTTCCATTCCCTTATCCTTCATAAAATCAATAATGTCTTGTTTTTTGTGCCTGTATTCGGAATTTTGTTTTTCTGTCGGGAATGGTATGGCGCATTGTCCATAATAATCACTGAATTTGGGGAAATGTTTGGTATTAACTGCTGCTCTATTCACTTTTCAAATAAGTCGGAGGTCATGTCCTCATGATAGTCGGCACATGATTCTTTGATATTTTTGGCAGATAACAGCAAGGCATTAGGTATAAATCCATTTTCACTGCCAGCATGGAGAATAATGATTCGTTTTCCACGGTTGCATGGTGCATTTAAAATGCACTTGTTGCTGTCGTCAACCCAGCCGTACTACACAACATCATGGGTATCATACCACGTTTCATCCAGGTAAATCAGATTTCTTTTCTGCTCTCTATAGATTTTAACTTTGTGCAAAAATTCTTGGCGCAATTCAACGATTCGAGACGACTCCATAATCACCATTCTTTTATCTAATTTTTTGTATTGAAAACCACACAGTTTTACAACAGTGCAGTGAGTCTAAGCATTTGTAATTATAAAATCTTCAGGATAATCTTTTAATTTATCCCGTATCATTTCCAACGTGGGCACCAAATTTTCTTTATAAAATCCGTATATTATACGACGAATATCTTCCTGAAAACCCACGTCTTCTTTTTAATTTTTGCCCTATGCGCTTTCTGTGGAAGGAATGGTTGACTACATCTCCCCTTTTTATAACCCGATAAATGGTAGACCGACTGATTTTTGTCAGGATACAAATTCTGTTTAAAATTTGATTTTGCGAGGAATCTGGATTTTCGTTTTTCAGACAACAATCATACATATTTAGGATTACTCTTTGGGTCTGTTCCTCTAAATCTTTATGAAAGAATTCTGCCTGCACAGGTTCATCAACCATCTCCTCGTGGCTTGGAGCATTTTCCCAAGGTCTCCAAAGAGCCATATTTAGGACACACAAGAACAATCAACACAACAATTAAATCAAACAAGTAAACGGAGTATTCAAAAGTCAAAAACACACAAACTAATAAAATCTATGAAAAAACACGGACAGACTAAAGAAAACACGTTTATTCACCGCTACACGGCACTGGCTAAACTGTTTCAATTTTCAGTAGCCACCTGCACTTGTTCCGAGCTCTGAAATACACGCTTTCTCATTGGCTATGTCCACGCATAGGCGTGCTTTACTCCACGTGGACAGGTGAAACTGCCTTTGATCTTATACGGGGGATATTTGCTGCGAAATTTGGCGATTTTTGCAGCAACAGAGTGTGTTAAATATAGATATAACAAACGCACCCGGTAATTTCACAGTGTTTTCAAGTGACTTCAGATAAAGTATACATTCTATTGTCTTGGACCTCTCTAGGTTAGATTAAAGATTATTCTCACTGACCGTCTAGTTTTGTCCCTATTCGATTACTGCGATGTCGTTTATGGAGCTTCCTTCACGCAATGGATTGTGACGAATTCAGAAAATCAAAAAATCGTGTCGTGAGGTTCATATAGGGCATCTCAAGTTTGACAGGGTATCAAACAAACTAGAGGAAGTTGGCTCAATATGGCTTCCAGAAGAAAACTTCATTCAGCAACATTATTCCATAAAATTGTTTTTAACTTGACCCATTCAAAAATTAACTAGGAGAACAGGACTTTCGAAAAGCACTGCATAGAATCAGCGATACCCTTTTTTTTTTTCTAGTGAATGATGAACTGTGGGTGGTGATGGAATTCCTGGAAGGTGGCGCGCTGACGGACATTGTGACGCACGCGCGAATGGACGAAGAGCAAATCGCCACCGTGTGCAAACAGTGTTTGAAAGCGTTGGCGTACTTACATTCTCAAGGGGTCATACATCGCGATATCAAATCGGATTCGATACTGCTAGCACTCGACGGGAGAGTGAAGCTGTCCGATTTCGGTTTCTGTGCTCAGGTAGGTACAAATGTCATCAAGTGGATCGACTCCGAACTTCTTATTGTATGTACTGAATCTCTGAGCATTACTATAGTGGCCACATCAGCCAGTAAAGTTAAATTATTATTATTAATTTTTACATTGTTTTATGAATTAAACTTGAACTATCATATTGTAGGTATCCCAGGAGCTACCGAAACGCAAGTCTCTGGTTGGCACGCCGTATTGGATGTCTCCCGAAGTGATATCTCGGTTGCCTTACGGTCCCGAAGTTGACATTTGGTCGTTGGGTATAATGGTGATCGAGATGGTGGACGGCGAGCCGCCGTTTTTCAACGAGCCGCCCTTGCAGGCGATGAGGCGTATCAGGGAGATGCCGCCGCCGAAATTGAAGAACGCCCATAAGGTGAGATTATTGCAATTTTCCGATAGGAGATATATTTTGTTGGTATTCAAACATATGCGACTGGGTTTTAAGTATTTGCCATAAATTTAACAGACGATTGTTTGAGTCATCTGACAAAAAGTTCATATAAACATAGGATTCAGGGTGTCAAATTTAAAAAATTGTTTTTCGTAAATGTGTTAACTATCCTTTACATAATTTTGTTATAATTTGGTGGTGGTATTTATAACATTATGGAGCAAATTTATCCATAGCTTGATTCAATTTATCAAGTCCAGTGGCGTCTCGAGCTGGGTCTGAACGAATATCTGTCAAAAAATTGTACGTTTCTGACTTTTATGCAATTTTTATTACGTTCCTTGGATATTAACCAAATATGTTAGAAATACAACTTTTTGGTCCTTTGTATTCTTTTCGTATCTTCCTTAGTTTTCGGGAAAAAGTCCACTTTTGGTGAGGAATATGGAAAAAATATATGACAACATACGTAATAGGAAATATAAAAACTTGTTTAGATCTTGCAACTGACAAAAAAGTGATTTGCTCGACAAAAAAATACACCTTGGTATAAAAAAAAACTGCTCAAAACTTGAGAGACAAACAATACACAAAATCAAATGGTGATTGGGAGGTATATAAAACGCTTAGGAATAAATGTGTGTATGTAATTAGAGAAGAAAAAAGGAAATTCTACGATAAACAAATCGATAATAACAAGTGCGACAGTTTTAAAGATGTGGAAAACTTTAAAAAGACTGATCAATTCTAAAATGGTACCGAAACAAATTGTTTGGTGATTGCAAACAAACTAAATGAATATTTTGTGGAAAGTATTGTTGCCAATGCTGCAACCTGACTATATGAAAATCAGTTTCCAAAGGGAAATGTTGCATACTCTTTCAAAATTTCATAGCGTATCATTGAATTATCTGAGAAAAAAATTAAACAGTTTAAAATCAAATAACAACTGTGCTGAAATCACTACCAAAAACGTGCTGAAAAACTGTTTCGAAATTTTGGGATGTCCTGTATTAAACTGGATCAATTGTTCACTGAGAAGCAGTTCTTTTCCTGAAAATTTGAAATGCTCTACAATAACACCAGTTCCCAAAATAAAACATTTTAAAAGATGCAGCGATATGAGACCAGTAAATGTGTTACCAGACATTGAAAAATTATTAGAGTCCATAGTGCATGACCAATTAATGCAGTTTATAGAAGAAAACAAAATTTTAGTGGAGGCGCAAGCTGGCTTTCGAAAAAAATATTCCACACAGCTTTCCAGTTGGTAACGGAGAATTGGAGAAGAGCCATAGACTCGATTAATTTTTGATATTCATTATGAAAAAGTTATAAAGATTAGTAGTAAAGTTGGATATTTATCGAGAGTTTCTGGATGTCTGAGTTCATATAGCAGAAAAATTATCTATAATACCATCATTCTTCCAAATTTCTTGTACTGTTCGACTATTATATATTTAGCAAATAATTCCATTTTTGAAAGACTGCAAATTTCACAAAATAAGTGCATGAGAATAATACTGAATAAAGATAAATATACTCCAATTAGATAAATGCTTAGCAAATTAAAATGGCTCAATGTAAAAAATGTTATCGAATATCTGGTAATGATATTCATTTATAAAGTAAAAAATAATATATTTCCATCAAGTCTAATTTAACATCATCAAATGTCGACCATCATTTACATAATACCAGAAATAAAGATGACTTCCATTTAATGACCAAAAAATATAACCTATGCTACAAATCTGTATTCCATCAAGGGTTGATTGATCTGTTTCACCAGGGAATTATATTCTTGAAGATCTACGGAAACGCCCCTCGCTGAGAAGTTTTCCTGGCTAACTTTTTTTATTAAACGTCAAATCTGGAAAAAACCACCTTTTAGTTATGAATTGGTATAAGCGGTTCAAAAAATTTGTTGAGGATGAAAATACCTTCAAAATAAGACCTTACACGGCCAATATGCCGTAATGGTTAATTTGTTATTACAAAAAGCATCAAAAATCGTCGATTATTTATTTTTTACTGGAAGATGCGTAACGTAAATATTTAATAACAGCTAAAAGTTAGGGCCTTTGTGGTGCTTAAAATCAAAAAAATAAATTTGCAGAAACGCTTGAGCATTTTTTAATGCAATTTTTAATGACTAAAGACGCTAACTGTTGGCTGTTATTTCAGATTTATCGTTATGCATTTTCCGGTTAAAAATAAATGTAGAAATCGTCGAGTTCAACGGTTTTGTTTTTGTAACAAGAAATTAACACCAAGGAGTCTAAATTAAAAAAAAAACTACAATTATAAAAAGTTCCTGATTACTGGGAATGAACATGATTGGCTAGAATTAAGAAACGAATCTCTAGCAGTTCTACAAGATGAAAAGGCAAATATCACAATAGCGAAATTGATGACAGTAAAATAATAGCAAACAGATGTGGAAAACATTGTTTCTTCCATTAGAAGAAATACATTACCTTAAATATTAATCCTGATAAATTACTGTTTAAAATATGGCGAATTTCCAACAAAACTGAAGTGTTCTACCATAACTCCTGTTTCTAAACTTAAGAATTCTAAGTTGTACGCCAATAAATGTTCTGCCAGATATTGAAAAAGTTTTGAAGAAATTATTTACCAACAGATGATCGAATTTATTAAGTAACTAAGTAACATTTTAACCAAATTTCAAGCTAGATTCAGGAGAAGAAACATTCAACTGAAACGGCAACACATATGGTTTAGTTTCAAAATTACAGCACTATGGACTTGAAGAATCTGTATTCAACATCCTACAAAACTACTTAATTGACAGAAGTCAAAAAACAAAATTGGATCTACATTATCAAGATAAAAAAATATTTCTGTGGTATACCACAAGGTAGTAAACTAGGTCCCACTACTATTTATTTTATACATTAATGACATTTGTGATATTTTAGCTTATTGTAAACTTCAGATATTTGCAGATGATACATTAATATACATATCGATGAAAACATTGCTTTAAAAATGCTAAATTTTCAAAATTACAAGTCTTGCAAAATAAAGCTATGAGAATAATATTGAATAAAAATAAGTACACCAAAATAAAGTCTATGTTACAACAAGTGCAGTGGTTAAGTATAAAAATTCATATATTTTGTTCTTATTTTTATATTTAAATAAATCATCGTTTGCCAGAACATTTAGAACACTACATAGAATTGAATAATCATTACCACAATTATTATACAAGAGGAAATATAGATTTTCATTTACAAAGTTGCAATAGTAATGTAACTACCAAATCAATATTTCAGAAAGGATTACTTGAATTTAATAAACTAAATAATGATAAAAAGTCTACTTGTAATTTAAAGATATTTAAAAGAGAATTAAAGGAATATTCCATGGACAGTGGAAATTCTTAAAGATGCAAATTTGGTTTTCAAAATATCTGTATGTTATTATTGTAGTTTTAAAAAAATGTCATGCTAAATAAATCTTAAACAAACAAACAAACAAGTGATGCATTGTTGTATCAGGTCTTGTTTTACAGATATTTCCAACCATACAAATTTTTTCGAGCTGCATGCACATATATTTCATAACTATTGGATTACTACGCGATTTTTTCAAATTTAGTCGTTTAATAATGAAGTTATCCCGCAACATTTTTTTTTATCTCTCAATAATGAGCCTGGTCATATACCACCTCAAAAATATAATTCCGCTGTGAAACCATTACATTTTTTTTTCGGAAACAGTGTCGATTTGGACTAGTCAGGCATGTGAAATTTCAATTTTTCAGACCTCAAATACTACATTAAAACCAAGAAGTACCTGGTTTATTTTCAGTGCCTCAAATACGGGACTCAACGAGGTTTTTGCACTGACATAACATTTCTTTATAGGTATCCACGACTGCAATCTTTCCTGGACAAAATGCTGGTACGGGACCCATCCCAAGGGCGACAGCCCAAGAATTGCTCGCGCATCCCTTCCTCCGTCAAGCAGGACCTCCTGCGCTCTTGGTGCCTCTAATGAGAGGCGCCAAACATACCAACTACAACTTAGTCGTTTCACACTTGATACCAGTGATTAGTCCCGAAATGTGCCTTTATTTTTTTACATTCTGATGTGATTCGATCCTCATTTACTGAAACTGAAAGCCTGGACAATATTGAAATAGACTGGCTAGGTATTCGTTGCTCGTCTAGCAACAGTGAAGGGTTAGTCCTGATTTGTGCCTTTTCTTCTTGATGAGGTTCTACTTTTTGAACTAACAAACTAAATCAAAACCAAGCGGTCTATTAAACACAGGAATTTCCTGCTATTTTGTTATAGGCATCAACCTTTCATTTAAATTATTTCGTTAACTGGCAGCTATTTGGAAACATGCAGAATTCACGCCGGACATAAAATCTTTGTGAGCTATTAAACAGGACCGTTATATGAAATGTTAGAAGATGTAATCCTGATTCTGCACATTTATATCGAATCAGTTTCAATTATTTTTAAAGGTATTTTATATAGTAGGTAAGCTTTAAATTATATAAAATGTTACTCAAAACCAAATATCTTCTGTCGTTCGATTATACAGGGTGCTTCAGCCGTGCGAGGACCGAAATTGCTCCTAAACAAAAACAATCTATTTTAACAGTCTATAGAACTCGTCAAAGAAGTGACATACCAAAATCACCTACAGAAAGTTGCTTAATAAGAGATTTAGTTTACATTACACAAAAATTATTGAAACAGAATCATCAATTTCAGGGAAACGTTCCACGTCTTCGAAAATAACATCCTGGTGTCCACAAGCATTTTCAATGCGATGTTGAAGTCTCTCGAGATTATTATTGCTCAATCATGATACACCAACACTCTATTCAAATAACCCCACAGACAAAAAATCGCAAGGCATTAAATCCGGGGAGCGAGCAGGCCAAGAAAATGAGTCCATTGTCCAACTTTTCGTCGAAACTATGGGAGAATCCCCATCATATAGGAACCTCATATTTATTGTATTTATTTATTTATTTACCAAATTTACGGCTGACCCCATTTTTACAAAATAAAATCAGGAAATGGAACAAAAATTTACAACATGCAAGCTCACAAGTCACAATTATAAAAATCACAATTTAAAGGTAATTTGTAAAGCCTGAGAGTGTACAGGTAAAGATGTCAATATTAGACTGAGCTAAATTGATATCACGAAAAGCTCTATCGAGTGGAGATTGCTGACCATAGGTTGTGGGATGGAACTTAATCGCAATGTTCTACGAGGTACATTAAGTTTTATTAATGTTAATGTTTCGCAATCGGTGATCCCCAATAAAATCTTGAAAGCGAAACAACCAGCAAGACCAGGCGTCCTATGCTCCAAATGTCAGTTCTATGATATTCCGTCATATTTAAGTTGCTCTTTAATGCTAAGACGTAAAAATTCATACTGAACACCACAAACGAATCCAAGAAATTTTGTAAGACTCCATAAAATCTTTTCAACTGCCACATTCACATCTACATGACAAATAATGCATTCCGGTCACATGATGCTAAATAATCATTGATTGCAGTAAAGTTAGCATTTGTAAAATCGTAAAAGGACTCATCAAAATCAGACTACTACACTTTGTTAAAATTGTAAAGTCATAGGCTTTGTCTCACATGTACAGGAGCATCTTCTAATAATTGTGGCAGAGATTGTGTTGAAGAAAATCTAAAATAAATTTCACCGGCCAGTCGAGGAGGAAATAAAGTAGGGTCCAATAAGCGTGCCTTTTACCACGCCACACAGTGTGTTCCTTTATAGGGATCAGGACAAAATTCGATATCTTAAAAACTAGTGGTCCTATTGAATCTGTAAACGCAGGGCGATTACTTATTTAAGTAGCGTTCTAAAGTATGACAAATTTTATTTAAAAATAATAAGAAGGGGTGGGGGAGACAGGCGGGATGCATTTCGCATAAATCATTTTTTTTTTTTGTAAAAGTCAAAATATTAAGTTGATCATCTCGAATAAATTGGGATAAAGGTAGGATATATTATAGCATTCTTAAGAGAGACAAAAAAGTCCACGCTTTTATTTTTCAAGATCTTTACCTAATGATTTAAAAGATAATGTAGCCAACTTGTGGCGGGCGCAATATGATTTATTAAATTTGTCCATCTATTTGAAAAGATAAGAATAATTCAAATAAAAAATAATCTGTATAATTTGAAATTGATATTTAGTGTTTTATCTTAAAAAAATATATTTAACAAAATAACAATTACTTAGTAGGTAATGTATGAATAATAATAGAAACTATATTAAAAAAATATACCCATTCTAATCGGAATAGGATTTCTTGCTCGGTGCTGTTGTCAATTCGTTATTGTACCTAGTCAATACCTAAATCATCATTTTTTTGCTTTATTTAAATAGTTCTGAAACTGCCATCGTTGCATTTCTTATATTTTTTTGAGCTCACCGTTCTTTTTGAGGATATAAAGGATCAGAATTAAGTAAAAGACACGCATCTGTTCTTGAACATTTCTGGTGTGAGATAATCGATGTTTCCTAACCTCTTTATGACAAACCAAACCGGTAATTATCTACGTTAGGAGGACGGTTAATCCCTGCTAACGTGTTCATGTCCTTGGGTGTGGCTACGCAAATGATGCACTTCATAGTTGAATTGTCCAACACTGCCGTCCAACATTGTTACATCATATCAACTTCAATTATATAAGAGTGCCCTTCTTTTGTTTTAATCACAATAGGAATCAAATTATCAATTTTTGTTATTATTTCCTTTTCCGTATTCCGCACTAAATCAGCATTTTCCTTTTAAATAAAAACTTGATCGGCCTACTATTGTAGTTGAAGGGCTCTCATTTTTCCACAATACCTTATTCGTTTCCATATCAATCAATCTGAGTGGAGTCATTGCACAAGAAACAAGAAATTCGTCGGTGTTTTCTAATCAGAAAATTTCTGCTTATATTGGCTATGCCCAGAACTGCCATCAAATCCCCCTTGCATATCACTTTAATCCGGCAGGATCTCTCTCTTCAAAATTATTATTTCAAGGATACTTTCAGCTGTTTTCTGTACAAGTTCTTGCAAATCAACTTCTGCAGAAATTTCAGTAATAATATATTGTGAAGGGAGGATAGCATTTTTTGTGTTCTGTAATTCTTATAACTAGGAAGGCAGTTCTGGGCCTTACCATTAATAACAACCTAAGTAGCAATACTTCTCTTACGGATATAATCCAAATCTACAATAAGGGCTAAAGCTTCAGCTGTACTAAAACTAAAATGTTGTGGCGAGACCTCACTGTGATTGCTTCCAGAAACGACATTTACACCAAATTGAAGTTCATTTGCAGATCTGTCTGTGGTTAGTTCGGCTACACGTCTTCGTTTTGTTTTCTTCGATGCTCTTCAAATGGCACCCGTCGCCGTCCAACTGAGCAACAAGGAGGTTCTTGTTCCTCATCCGAAGATGTGTTTTCTTCAGAATCATTATTTATCTATATATAATCTTGTCTAACCATATACCTGATGTTGTAAAAGTCGATTCCGAGATTGTCCTACTTTCTGCCATTTATTTGCCATTTTCAACCCAACAACTGGCTGCATTTCATATATTACTTTTAAGATGTTCGGAAGGTTCATCTGTTATATCAATAAGAGACAATATCTTTCATAAACCACCTGTTTTCTATTTCCTCTCGGTGCTTTCTATCCACACATCAATCAAATCTCTATTTCTGACAATAGCACCATGTCCTAAAAAAAATTATATCTCGCTTAGACGTGGCATGACGTGATTTAAACTTTTTTATCAAACGTACTATGGACAGATAAACAATAAATAAAAAAATGTTTAGGGTGATGGGAGGTGATTTTTGTAAAACTCTAAACAAAGTCAAAAGTTTAAAAAAATTACAAAAATCGGTAATAGTCACTTTAACTTAAAAAAATTATCTAATTATAATTATATTTTAAATAAATCTATACATCAATATAATGTACTTACCAGTCTCATTACCAGCCATATTGGAAAAGTTAAAATATTTAATATTTCGACACAAAATTTATATCTTTCCCGAGCAATAAAACAGAGAGATTTTTTCGCCTTCTTGACAGGTCTCGACATGTCTAACTTTAAAGTGCTAAAATAGGTAAATCGCAGCCACTTGATTAAGTACTATACTTACGTGTTGCAGTGACTATTATCTACCCAATGGCATAATAAAAGAAACAGAATTCTAATGTCAAAAATTATGTTTTTGTCCATTGGGCGCCACACTGTGCGCCCAGCTCAACATTTAATGAAAATCTATGTTGAAAATGAGTTCTGTTTATGGCATGCGGATTTTCTACTACTGCCCAAACATGATTGTTGTGGAAATTGTGCACTCCATTTCGTGTGAATGTGGCCTCGTCTATTTACAAAATTAATTTCGTAAAATCTTCATTTCTGCCGAACTGTTCTAAAAGCTTGTAACCCGTTGATATGATGAGGATAATACTGTTCTTGTCCTGTTGTCTTCCACAATTTACTACGAGAGACTTCAACTTAAGCTGCTATAACTCTAGTACTCATCGTTAAGTCGTCTTCGACCATTTCTAAAACGTCTTCCTCAATTTGTTGGTACTCTCCGTATGTTAGTATTATGTCCACTAGTTCCTTGTTTTCGTAAACAAGATTATTGAGAATGTCTATAAAATCAGGCTTTGATTCAAGAAACCAAGCAATTCAGTATCGTAATTCACTATTACAGATCAATATAATGATATAAAATTCATGTTTTGGACATGTCTGAAAATGACGCCTATAAGTAAAACTATTTGTAGTACTAGAAAATGTTCATTTGCTGTTGTGTGTCAAAATTAGGAATTGCGAATATTTTAGAAATAGTTTTCTTTGAATATTTTTGTGTTAGGTGCAGTACTCTGTCCTCGCACGGTTGGGACAACCCTGTGCATGAAGTAGTTTATACGCCGTATTTTACAGGTACTTAATTTTATTTATGAAGGCTGCTGGTACTTAATTTTGAATGTTGATCACAGATAATTTTCAATGCAAATTTCTATTTTCAAATTCATACTATAAACGTTGTTGATTTTATTCTGTAATTTTAATACTGCGTTGAAAATTAACTATGACCAGATCCAAATTAGGCCATCCATTTAGCATAAGGTATAAACGCCCTGTATATGTACCGTCACGTTGTAAAGCTTACACTTTTTTTGTCGGATTAAGGCTACAAGTAAGTGTTATTATTTGTATATAGAATTTCTTTTTCAATTTTTATTGTATTTGGAACGAATCTCATTTATCATACATATTTTATTAATTTTTTATTCTACGCGCCCTAATACAAAATAGTTCGCGCATTATCTAATTTTATCTTGAAGTTTGTTTATTTTTTTAAGGTTACTAAACAATTTTTCATATTTTGATATTTAGCTGCGTTGACAGTTTCGTCTATGAAGTGAAGTTTTCCAGCGCCAAAAACAGATATGCTTCCCATACCATTAAACCTGATGGAAACTTATTTTTTCTCCCTAAGCAGTCTTGAAATTAAATGCTTCATTTTTGTTTTCTTATAACCTGGGATCGGTGGTCCACCACACAATCAAATTTCGATTCATCGCTAAAAAGGATCTTTTCGAGTCCTTCGTTCCTTAGCACGCGCTAACCGCTTTTAGTTTTGTTTTTCATGAGCGACGGCTTTTCTCTTTCGCCTGAAGCAAAGGTTTTGCTGCATACAGGGTTTGTCCGGAAAGTACTAGGACTGAGTCGATTTAAAAAAAATTGAGCCAATCGTTACGATTCTTTAAAAACTTTCAAATACGAACAAGAGATCTTCGCATTCTAGGACTGATCGTACGCGGCCTAACAACACCTTGCCTTGAAACTTGAACCTGCGTCTTCATACTTTTTTACAGCATCTGCCACCGCAGACTTTGCGACATTTATTTGTTTAGCAATATCCCGAAAACTCTTTCCTTGATGAAACAACTTTATGATTAAAACTTTGATTGCACCGTTTGTTGCTTTACCACGCGACATTTTAAAGCAAATTGATTCACAAAAGTGATTCTTAAATCAAAACGTCAAATTGTAAACACTTTCTTTTTAATATCGTGTCCGAACATTTTTGTGTCAGCAAAACGTTGCGTTGATATCAATATGTTCGATATGATCAAACAATTGTCTTATAAAAGAAAAACAATTAATTTTTAACCTTACAAAAAATAACTTTTAGATAAAATTAGATAATGTCCGAACATTTTTGTGTTAGGGCTCGTACATATGGCTTTAGTGTATGGGCATTGTAGTTTTTTATAAAAACGTGCATTGATAAAACCTGCTGTGCCTGTAGTGATTATTTCGTACAGATCTGATATTTAAATCCATATATTCCAAAAGTCAGTATTAAAATTATTTTTGAAATTAGATTGATTTTTGTAAGGTGATCATGATTTACAATGGAAATTGGGTTAACAAATATTTCGCATTTTCCAGATTGATATAATTCATCATAAAATTATATTCATAATAGGTATTTTTAAGCCGTCCAGAAAACGTGCCTTTTACAATCTTGAAATTCCTATTTTTCAATAGCGATTTTACATTGGATTCAAGTGATTTTTCAATGGAGTGACTGAGAAGGTTATAAGGTATAAAAAAATTGCTATGGACATGGAAATAAGACAAAATGCATCTTCACCACTTATCCCAACAATTTTCTGATCTTTGCTATCATTATACAGTGGCATCCCAATTGACGGATTCTCGTCTTCATCCCACGACGTCAATGCGGGTGTTCCACAGGGATCGTTCTTGAGTATGGTCCCTTTTACATATCAATGACCTACTTTCCTGTACGATCAATGCGATCCACAGCCTCGCTGTTGACAGCACTCTGCATGCAGGAATTTAGAGCGACAAGTCGATCTCTGGCGGTGAGCTGGAAAAAAGAAGACTAGCGGCGACTTGCTCCCTGGAGGTTATCTCTACTGGGAACGCAAAAATCTAACTAGAAGCCAACTTCGTACATCCAGAACTGGTCGTTACGACCGCTCCTTTGTCGCTAGGGTATCGAGATTGTGGGACAATCTGCCTGAAGAGGCTTCTCCC